CAAGAAGCAGCTCACTTCGGGGGACTTTTCGGCTCCTTAATCGACGGGACCGGGAGGGACAAAAACGAATTGCACCTCAGCGAAGTAAGGTGTTAACGTTATTTCCTTAATAACAGCAGCGTGTTCCGCGCTGCGGAGGGAAAGCCGTGCTGGCTCTCCTTTTGCTTTCCTTCCAGTTGTACTTTAGTGCGCGAAGAAGGACGGTGTGTGTGTGTGTGAGAGAGAGAGAGAGAGAGGAGGGGGGGTGTCGCGTTGGAAGGGATGCCTCTTCCTCCTCTTTAAAAAAACAGCTTCCCAGAAAGGCACCTTCGACTTGGGCAAGGGGAGAGTGGAAATCAGGAAAGACTTCCTAGTAAGCGTCGGCAGGGGAAGGGGGGGAGTGCGGCTTTTGCCCTCGTCCTCTCCCCTTCTTCCCCGTCGCCTGGGTTTCTGGGCTCCCCTTAATTGAACGCCGCTTGCCCTCAAAACAGCGGCCACGCACGAAAGCGCTTCTCCGAAAGGGAAAGCCAAGAAGCGTGACAAGGAGCCGCCAACACAAAAAGTTGTTGACGGCTGGAGGCTTGGCCAGGGCGGCGAGTTACGCGGAATCCGTTTCGCTCTTCGCGTCACGGGACTTGAGATGCAGGCAGAGAGGTCGTGTGGGTGGGTGGGTGGCTGCCTGTGCGCGCCGAAGCGACATGCGGAGTTTCCCTGAGAAGGGGAGACCCTCCTTGATCGTCGTTGGAGCAGCAGAGACTCCGTCACCCGCCCCTTCCCTTTTCCTCAGGTGATCGAGGCTCCTCTGGCTTCTTTATTTGTCCCTAGTATGAAGTCGTTTGGGAAACTTTTCCTCCTGCTTCTTTCGCTCTCGAGGTCCTCGTTCGTTGAGGGAAGGGTTTTCCTTCTTCCTTCGCTTGTTGTGTGGGTGTAATAAACGTACTCTTACCGGTAAGACGGATCAGTCGACCACTTGTTGGTCCTCCTCCGCTGCATCTCCAGTTTTCGTTTTTTAAGGATTTATGATTTCGTTTTCCTTGGGTTTCGTTGCATTTCTCAGTCGAGTGGTATTCCGCTGAGGATAGTGGTCCCGGCGGTGTTTACCAGAGACATCGTGAGAGTCTCTAAAAGTCTGGTGCGAGAATTTGTATTGCCCTGGTTGCCAGCAGATGGAAATGCAGCATTGACAGAGTAGAAATAAGAAACTCGTACTGGTAACTGTGGGACTATATGCCAACTTTCTTGGAGCAACCGTAGATTTCTTTCTCTCTCTCTCCGCCCCCTCCCCTTCTCGTTTTGGATTGTTAAACTTGGATCTGGAATATGTATTACTTTGCTCAGTTCAAAAGTTGGGTTTTTCTAGCCTTCATGTTCTCTTTAAGGCAGTAGGAATGTGTACTAGAAGTTGCTGTTGATGAGACAGTCCGATTTGGGGGCTACCAGTAAAATGAAATGCGGACAGTTTTCTAGGCTGTTGTGGAGTCGAAAGGTACAAGAGGTAAGGTTGCTTTTTGTTGGTGCGCTTGCTTCGTATTTATCTGAGGGGAAAGTGCTAATTAGCATAGAATATCTACTGCTTGTGTGGCTCTTTCCACTTTTCCTCTTGGTGTTGGGAACAGATTAGTTACTTTCCTGATGGAGTTGGGGGTCTCTTCACGAGACGTAAAGAATACTGCAGGCAGGACTTAATGTTTTGGTCTGAAAGCGCTTCCACGTGGAGGAATCTCTGTTACTACTTGAAGTAACATAAGTTTCTGTGCTCAGTTCAGTGAACTTTTTGGTCTTTGATATTTTTTTTGCCTGTTTTTGCTTTAAGTTTTATACAATCAGAAGAGTATTCTTTTTATATATATATAACAGCATGATATTCTGAAATGGCCAATTGTGTTTACCTGTCTTTCTCTTATATAGAGTGCTATGGGGAAAAACAAATGTGATTGAATTCAAATTGTTTGTTTTTAAAAATTGTACACTGTCCTATTGTTTGTATCCATTTCATTGTGATGCAGTTGAGCAATATTAACATACAGGAGTGCTGGTTTTATGAAAATACTTTTGTGACTATGGATTGTTACTGAGGACGGAATTATATATTACAGATGAATATAATTGGAAGTTTTGTTCTTTTATTTCACTCTATAGTAAAGGGTTTAAACACAAAATCAATATATTGCCATTCTCTGATTGCCGTGACATGAGATTTTATGGTTATTTTGATAAATAACAAAATGAACAGTAATTCATCTAATCAGGCGTTCATTTAATTAGTGTTATTGGTCGTTCACTCATCATAAACATGGAATTAGCTTTGTATTAAAATACAAGAAACATTATTTAATTTTTTGAACAATTACAATATTTTCACCTGTTAATCTGGGTGGAGTCCTTTTATGTTTAATCTATTACATAACACATCCCTTAATCTCCACTTTCCTTCTTGCTCATTTCTTCTTGATCATTATTTGTTTCTTTGAAGCAGTTTGCATCCAGATACTAATTTTTCTCTGGTTTGCCAGCCTTGCTTTGATTTCCAAAGTGCCTTTGCACTTGAGACACAGGTTATTTTGTTTGTGCACCAATGCCGTATTTCATTGTAACTGAATTATACTAAGAATAATGTTTGCATCCTTTTTATCATACTGTAGAGAGTATGGTACATGATATACTGTGTATTTGTGAAGAAGGAAGCTCATGATGTCAAATCATTGCCCACATTACTGTTACACAGTATACAGTTTGGTTATTAATCATATTTTAATTCAATGCAAATCTTAGTCAAAAGACAAAAAGCAATATGTTTACACATGTTTCATAGTTGTGATTGTTAACAATAGTTTTGTATGCTTATGGCACGGCGTTTTTGGACTTTTTGTCCCTTTGCAGTAGAAATTTGTGTTGACATTAATTTATGTTGAAAAATTCAGTAATTGACAGAGTTCTAAAACTCTAAATCATCCTATCAAAATCTAGAATTTTTCCCTTGTGTAATATGGCTCAAAATGACTTATTACATATACTAATTAGAAATAAATCTTTAGGCTACATTCTGTCGCACACACTAAACAGGTCTGCTGATTATGATTTGAACTTGGTTTCATAGTAGTCTTTTAGGAATGGGATTCTAGTTGTTTTTGCAGCATCAGTTCTGATTTAAACAAACTTAACTATATTTATTTGCAAATGGTCACTTTTCACTAATATAGTCTTGTTAATTCTAGTACTGTGTAATGTTATATTGTTCTACAGCTTACTGTTGACTAAGTTCCCAAATGTTCTAATTTTATAGAGGCAGCAAATTTACATGTGTTGACCAGTAGGGCTTCCAGTTTTCTGTAATTATGTTGCTTACTTGTCCTGAAAGTGAAACTGAGGTCAGAAGTTGGATAGATCACTTAGTCTTTTATATATAAGGCATTTATTTATTTGTTTATTGGCAAAAGTTAATATTTTAAAATTTGAAAATGAAGACCTAGTGATCTCAGACTAAAACAGTTTTTCTTTTTTTTTTACATGAGTTTATTCTACATAGTTTTATATAGCAGCTGCTGATCATATTTCATAGAGCTGTTAAAGCACTTAAAACCTAAAATTAGGTACTGTCTGGTAGTAAATATTTCAAATTGCTGCTTGAAGAAATAAATGGAGAAGGGGTCTCTAAAATATATTGCTCGACAAAAGCAAGTACTGTACGGATATACAATTAAATATAACACATAACTGAAAATATACATCCTCTATTTAAAATGCCTTTTGTTTTCACTATCAATGATTGCACTGACTCCTTGAATCTTCTGTTCCAAACAGTCCTTTTAGAAGTGTACAATAGGAAAACTGTTATGGATCTGTTATGACTCTTCTATTGTGTTCTGGAACAAAAGGGACCACACTCATCTGCTTTGGTGATCAGAGTTCTATTCCTCAGAAGTGTTACCTTTTCTCTTATTTCAAACCTGACATACAGTGAATTTTATAAAACAGCATTTGATACTTAAATACTGTTTTTGTTTTTATCCAAAAAAGGTTAGAATAATAATTATTGTGAATGGTGCTTGGGACTAAAAATAGACGTGCAGATACAGTAGTTGTCAAGTCCTCTAAAACATATAAATCATCTTGGTAATACAGTTTTAGTAGCAACATCTAGCCTATTAGATTAATGTCATTTAATGTCACAATATAATAATATAATGTTCTCAAATGTTTTTGTGACTTCAGAGCTTCTCCTAGTAGCTATCTTGAACAGTATATAATTTTTTATGATAAACGTTTGTTGCAATTGAAGCATCATCTTGATTTTAACAGTGTTTCTTCTTTCTTCAGTGTTTTCACACATAGTTGGATTGATACATTGAGTATATTTTACACTTTGAGCAATGATTTGATAAGAAACAAAGCTGATTTGTTATGCACAATGTTTTTTGTGCAAAAATTGATTGTGTGGCTTAATTATAACATTTCGGTCTCATTGAAAAGGACTAATGGTTCTTCCAGGCATTTTGATCTTAGTTATCCTTCAGAAACAATACCATAATTGTCCATACTTTTTTACAAAGTGCAGTTAAAGTTAGCTACCCAAACCATGGTATATGCTGATTTATTTCAAACAAATCCTAGGCCAGATTAACAGCATTTCAGTTTAGACATTAATACTAAATTGCAGCGATCTAAAACTGAAGCAGGAACTTCCCATCTTCTCCTTGCAGATGCACAGAAGGAAGGAAAAAGAAGGATTGAATAAGCCCAAGGTTCACCACAATTCATTCTGCAAATCAGGATTTGGTAGGCAGTAACATCAGCTGCATATTGGAAATCACAAGAAACCTAAGTAAACTATTCATTAAGCATGAAGTTGATAGTTCATAAATTACTCTAAGTATGGAAAAAGATCACCAACGTATTTATGATCTGGAGTTAATGAAGCTAACACAACATAGATTCAGTTCAGTAAATGACAGTACAGTTTGAATCTTGTTTTGTGGAATTTCAAATGGGCATCTATACTTGGGGGTTTTATTCAAAGACAGTTTTAGTTTCCTTAGTAATGAAATGCTTTGCAATTTTTAAAAGTTACTGGTGAATTGATGGTTTATTTGTTGCAAAATTAGAAG